CACCGTCTATTTGCATAATTTCCATTATTATTGACAACTCTATTCAGAAATTAGCAAAACCCTTTTCTGTTTAGTTTTTTAAAATAATGTTCACTACACTGCCATCTCTCAGGTTTTTCCTACCACATTCTCTTACCTTCTATATCACGCTCAACTACAAATATTTTCTTTTCTTTTTTTTTTTTTTTGAGACAAGAGTCTCACTTTGTTGCCCAGGCTAGAGTGAGTGCCTTGGCGTCAGCCTAGCTCACAGCAATCTCAAACTCCTGGGCTCAAGCAATCCTCCTGCCTCAGCCTCCCGAGTAGCTGGGACTACAGGCATGTGCCACCATGCCCGGCTCATTTTTTCTATAAATATTAGTTGCCCAATTAATTTCTTTCTATTTATAGTAGAGACGGGGTCTCGCTCTTGCTCAGGCTGGTTTTGAACTCCTGACCTCGAGCAATCCGCCCGCCTCGGCCCCCCAGAGTGCTAGGATTACAGGCGTGAGCCACCGCGCCCGGCCTACAAATGTTTTCTCATCTTCGCCATGCCCAGTACTGGCATTATCTCTTGTGTCAATCTCTCACTGTATTTTTATCATCCATCTAACAATCGTCTATGGAGTATCTACCCTCCTTCGCTTCCCAAGCTTCCACATTCAGGCAATCCAACCTTTTTCTCCCTGAATGCATCATTGCTCTAGAAACCCCCAATTTAAAGTTTGCTTTTGTATTTCTCCAAACGGACAGCTCTTTTCATCATTCTCTCTCGCAGCGCACAGCAGCCTCTTCACCCATCCTCTCTGGGACGCGCATCTGCAGCACATCTTGCCCACGACAAGTTGGCTCACGCTTAGCCAGGGCTCACACGAGATCATCTGCGTCCACCCCACCTGAGGCAGAATCCTGTTCTTGCCTAAGAGCTTACTGCTCTCTTCTCTCCATTATTCCCAATACACCGGAGATTCATTATTCCGCCCCGATTCAAAGCTGCTCCCCCCCACACACTTTCGCATGACTCTGTTGTTACAGCTCTCTAGATCTGTTATGTTGAATATGGTCACCACTATTCACAGGAGGCTACGGACCACCTGAAACATGGCTAGCCCAAATCAAGACATGCTGGGAGTGTTAAATAACCGTGGATTCTGAAGACTTAGTATGAAAAGAGGACATATCTCATAAAGAGTGTTTATATTGGTTAGTGTTGAAATAATACTTTGGACATTTTGAGTTAAATATTATTATTATATTATTATTACAATTAATTTTACCTGTTTCTTTTTTTCTTTTTCTTTTATTTTTTTATATTTTACTAAAAAATTTTTTTCTTTGGCTTTTAAAAAAAAAATTTAAAACTTTCCTTCAGGCCGCTTAGGTCTGTCACCTGTTTCTTTTTACCTTTTGAATATGGCTACTAAAAACTTCTGAATTACATATGTGGCTTGCATTATATTTCTACTAGCCAGCACTACTTTGGGCTCTACTGTTGATTCATACTTTAATCTTCCCTACCAGTTCAAAATTCTCTCCTCTTTATTATTTTTACTAAAAGACCTTCCCCAACTAGCCCACTGCTCCCCACATTTCAAACCTAGAACTCTTTTCAATCTACTATTCTCAATACCTTTATACCCCATTCCATTATTTCTGTCTACAGTATTTCTTTTCATTTGCTAATACAACTACTATCCCTGGAATGAAATCATAATGTATTTCTGTTTTTTCTTCATCAATTCTAGTAGAGAGTGGTATCTGTCTTAACTCTCAGCAAATTAAAAAAAAAAATAGTCCCTGTAATTCTCAACAGAAAGAACTTCACTCGCCATTCTCCAAATTGGCCTATATATACTATAATTTCATTCAAAGGGGCTAGTAATTGTGACATACTAAACAAACGTAAATTCGTAATAATTTCAGACCAATGTTGCTCATTCACACCAGGAGAGCAATTTTTCCTTAAAGACAGCATTCTTTCTCCAGACTCTTCTCTGGGGAGGTTTCCATTCCGGTTATTCACAGCAGAGAACTCTCTTACTTCACTCCAAATACTTGCATACAATTCCCAAAACAAAGTGCTTGTTTACCAACCATTTTTAGCAAGGGCCATGTGTCATCACTTCCCAAACTGATTTTATGTCTAACACTTCTGAAATTGCATTTTCTTTTCTCAGTGATTTCAGGAAAAACTCAAGACTGAGAAGGTGGGTGTGAGTGGCTTGGCCAGGAAGAGCTGGGAGAGTTTGCACGGAGACCGATGAGAAGCACCGGTCACAGAGAAGAGGTCCCATTCACTGTCCTCGGAATGTTTCTTCTCAAGTCTCTCCTCCTTACTACTCTGTCCCAGCCTCCCCACTATAAGCCCTTTACGTGTATCTCTTCCCAGTATGAGTGACTACCTTTATTCTAGCCCTTTCTCAAAATTCCTCTGTACGGCCTCCTTCCCATCATTCTGAGCAAAGAAATTCCTTGCCTTTATTCCGAGAACACAAGTCTCCTTTTTTTGCTTCCAATATTTTCCTCAGATGATGAAGATCTTTTCTTCATCATTCCATATAAATTTCAGTTTCCCACCAGTTTCCCAGTATTGAAAAACCTTTAAAGAAAATTACTCCTAGTGTTCGAATTTGTCCTTCTTCCCCTAGAGCTTTTATTTAGCTCCCTCCCAACCCTCCCAGGACAGAACACACACACACACACACACACACACACACACACACACACTCACTCTCACTCCTGACCTGGTCATATTGTCTGTTTGTCATTTAGCTTAGTCCAGAAGTCCCTCTTCCAATAAAGAGCCCTCTCCTCCCTCATACCTTCTTTGGACATTCCCAGTATATACAGCTCCTTCCTTGGTCCTTTCCTATATTCTTATCTCTTCGATATTTCTCTTCTGTTCTTACCTTTGCTTATTCCTGTCTCTCAATGTCTGCCTCTATAGCCAATATTCTATCTGCTTCAGAAAAGAGCCCCCATTATACATGTGGGTCAAAAAGGGGACCTAAAGGGGTAGGACAAGTTGCTTGTCCTCCTATGGCTTGGGACATTCCCCTCAGTTCCCCCTTGCTGAGGGGGTCTCTCTTTCCCAGGTGTGTCTGGCGATACCTCCGGATCCTGTTGCCTCCAAAGCCATCTCTTTGATGGCCTGCCTTGCTCTCTTTTCTGCCTTAGGACCATCCCATTCTGAAAATCCTACTAATCCTTTCTTCTTAAAATCACCCTGCTGGCTACTCCATCACCACCACTCTGCCCCAGGCCCTTTCATCTTGTGGACATTTTCTCCTACCTTCGAGTTGCTGCTCTATCTTTTCCTTATGCTCCTCCTTAGAAGATGCTACTCTGACTTCAGTCATTGGATACTCCTGGTCCAACCAGGTACAAAAAGAAAACAACAGCTGCACCCCCAAAGCCAAAATGCCCAGGGCTAAAGGAGAAAAGAAGAGGAAGACAGGCCCTATGGCAGCCTTCAGGTCTAGAAGAGTGATTAGCCCTTTGGACAATTTCAGGAAGGGCCCAGAAACCTATCATCAAGAACGCCTCTTCCTGGCAAAGGACAAAAGGACTCATGCATCTCCTTGTCTCTATTAGTGTCAGCCCCCAGCCTACTGGGGTCATTTCCACCTGCTAAGCTAGATGCAATGAATGATTGAGCAGAGGCGGATTCATCCTGATGCTAAAGAAGTTTAAGCTTCAAAGCCTCCACACTTGTACTTGGCCCCTATTTTTTTTTTTTTTTTTTTTTGAGACAGAGTCTCACTTTCTTGCCCAGGCTAGAGTGAGTGTCGTGGCGTCAGCCTGGCTCACAGCAACCTCAAACTCCTGGGCTCAAGCAATCCTGCTGCCTCAGCCTCCTGGGTAGCTGGGACTACAGGCATGCACCACCATGCCTGGCTAATTTTTTATATATATATTAGTTGGCCAATTAATTTCTTTCTATTTATAGCAGAGACAGGGTCTCGCTCTTGCTCAGGCTGGTTTTGAACTCCTGACCTCGAGCGATCTGCCCGCCTTGGCCTCCCAGAGTGCTAGCATTACAGGTGTGAGCCACCGTGCCCGGCCCCCTATTGTATAAGCTTTGGCTCTCAGAACACCTAGATCTGTCTGGATAGAAGAAAGCTTTTCTGGCTTCTAGGGTTAAGGACCAGTAGGTTGGAAAGGAGAGCTCTAAAGGAATTGATCCGAAACAGGATTCAGTTTAATACACCATGTCTTTGGAGAGAGCACCCTCCCACACGCAGGATCCAGGGCTCTTGAATCATCTCTTAGCTGAACCTTTGCTGGATTCTTGACTTCAGGTCTTTGGGCCACACCCAACTTAGCCCAGCCTTTAGCCTCTCCCTTGGCTTCACGGTTGGCCCTGGTCCAGTGGGTGCTAGGACCCCTGCTAGCTAATGTACCTCCAGCCTAGGTTCCTGCTAGCTAATGTACCCTCCTGCCCCCTACTTGGTTATTCAAGGCTTGGCTCTAAATCTGCCAATTCAGTGGGACCTCAGCTACTAAGGTGAAGCCACAGCCACTGCTTTAAGACCCTCACTTTGCCCCTGCATCCAGAGCCCATCCCTGCGCTCTGGGTGTCTGGGGTCAATTCAATCCTCTCCTCAGAAGCCAAAACGTGCCCTGCCTTGCTGAACTGACAGCTGCTCCAACATACCCTCACCTTGGTCCCCCCAGGAACCCGCCCTTGTAGCTTCTCTACTACGGAAAGAGGAGAACAACGAAGGAATGCTGAAAAGGAGCCTGGGCTGAGGCTCCAGGGCTAGGGTGCTGGGAGGAAAGGCAGTGATTTGGAGGAGTCCCGGGAACTCTTCAGTTAGACTTCAGGCTCCCCGGGTCCAGGGCAGGGCAGGGGCTCTCGGATCTAAAGACGCCGTGTGGGGACTGAATTGGAGTCGGGACCTGCGCGCGGTCTGTGGGTCTAAGAGGCCAGGGCTCCACGCAGGTGCCGAGACTCCGGGCAGGTTCCCGTCTGTGATTTCCGGGTGAACGCGCCTCCCGCCCGGCGTCCCCGCACTTACCGGGCAGACTCGGGAAAGTCTCTGGGAAGTGCGCGGGCGGGGGCGGCGGGGGCTCTGCCACTTTCTCCCGGGCCGGCAGCAGCTCGTCGGCTTCCAGCCCGCCCTCTGGGCGTCGGCCGCCCGGCTCGGGGTTGTTTCGGGCGGCAGTGGCGGCGGCGGCGGCGGCGGCGAGCTCCGGGGGCCCGTAGAAGGCGTCGGGCGGCTCCGCGAAGCTGGGCAGCGCGGTGGTCAGCGCCACCATCGAGGGCACGGCCTGCCCCAGCCCCGCGCAGAAGGTGTTGGTGAGGCGGCCGGCAAAGGAGGCCAGCGGGGCGAGGGGCGGGAGGCCGGCGGACAGCGGCGCGGGGGCCAGCGCCTGCGGCAGCACCAGCGGCCGGTAGGGCATGAACATGGGGTAGCCGGTGTAGACCAAGTGGCCGGAGCGCGGCGGCGGCGGCCCGATCAGGGAGTCGATGGAGAAGGCAGTGCCCGGGCCCCCGCCGCCGCCCCCGCCGCCGCTCCCGGGGGCGCCGCCGCCTCCGGCTCTCTGCATGGTGCCCGGGGCTGCAGCCGCCCCGGGGCGCTCCCCTCCGGGCGCCGCCGTGCGCCCCGCGGCTCGGGCGCCCCGCGCGGACACGCAGGGCTGGCTCCCTGCCTGCCGGCCGAGTGGCGGCGGGGCGCGGGCTCGGCGCAGTGTGGCTCCGGCGCCGCGCTCCCTCGCTCATAAGGAGGGAGGGGGCGGGTGAGCGGGCGGGCTGGGGGTGTCGCCCTCCGGACTCATCCATCTTCCTCAAATTACGCTTCACTTCCTCCCTCCGCCCGCGCCGCCGCGCCCGCGCCCGCTCCCTCCGCGGCCCGTTCCCAGCGGCCCGCCGGCCGGCCGGGACCCCGCCTGCCCCCCGCGGCCCAGCCAACTATTATTAATGGAGATTGATGAGGCCGGACGCGCCGCTTTGTGAAAGTTTGCGGCCGACGGCAGGGCGGCGGCAGCTGCCGCGCCGGTCCCCGTCCCTCGGCCCAGCCCGCCCTCCACGCGGCCGCCCGGCCCGAGGGCAAGTGGGAGGCGGCGCGCCGGAGGCGCGGGGGCCGCGGGAGGCGCTCCGGGAGGGCGGCCGCGGGCGCACCGCAGCGCCCTCCGCCCGGCCGCGGCGCCGCCCTCAGACCCGGCGCCCGGCCGCCTCCCCGCCCCGACGTGCCTTCCCGCCCCGGAGCGCACGGCGTGGCGGCCCCGAGCACGCCCGGGCGCGGCGGGCGGGACAGCTCCTCCGCCGCCCCCTCGGGCGAGGGCCCGGGCCCAGAGCCGCGACGCAGGGACGGCAGGGGGCGCGCTGCGCGCCCGGACCTGCGGCTTAGGTGGCCGCCCGTAGGGGGCCTTTTCCTGCAGGCTCCCCGCCCCATCCGCACGCTCTCCTCTGGTCTCTGTTCTCTTGGCATTGCCTCTTCCCCGTCCTCCTCGTTCACCCCTCCATCGCCAACTTCCCTTAGTCCCTTACTCTCACCCCCGTAATGTCCCCCAGCGCCCCGCGCTGTGCCGAGTACTTACCACTCCTCTCACCTTCCCCTCCATCTTCTCCCATCCTTCACATCTTCTCCCTTCTCTCACTCTTCTTCCCTTTCCCGCCCGCGCTTCTACTCCTTTTCCTAATTGCTTAGCTCTTTCCCATCTCATTCCCTATCCCAGTCCGTCTTACTTTTTTTTTTTCTTATTTCTTGCATCTTTCTCTGTATCTTGTCTGTCTGTCTATCTCTCTCTCCCTCCCTCGCTCTCCCTCTTCTGCTATTAATTTCCCTGATTGGCTCCCCGGCTCCAGCACCGCTGATGAGCCCTATTCATTCCCGGGCCTGACACTCACGACCTGCCCTAGCTGATTGCTGGGGGCTGGCCCCAGGAGCGCTGATGAGCCCCAAGGGTCAGCTGCGCTAATTATCCGCTAATTGTGGATGACTCTGCTCACCTCCCCCATTCTCAGACACAGAAATGGTGGCGCCCTAACCCTTTTACCTTCCCCATCCTCCTGATTCCCAGCAGTAGAGTTGTCAATCTAGAGGCAAAAGTCACAGACACTTTGGCTTGACAGGTGCCTCGGGTCAGTGGGCAAGAAAAAGACTAAAGACAGGCAGTCAACAGAAGAGTGACCCAAGCTTTAGGACACAGAGCAAGCCTGGCCAGCTAACGTCAGTATTATCGGATCACTAGGAAACTGTTGCTTATTCAGGTGGGGCCAGGGAGAGCCCAAATAGTTAAAACCAATTATAGCAAAGCCAGGCAAGTTTAGGAAGAAGATGCAGTCTAAGTAGGGGAAGTAATTTGGATCTAGTGAGGAGGAAAACCTACACCAAAGAGTCTCAGGTTGTCCAGCTGAGACAGGGCAGGGCAGGAGGGAACTATGGATCTCAGTGATATTTGTTTCAATTAGGAGTGCTGTGTTGGCCTAGCGAGCACAGCTAATGTCAGGCTGCTGCATTTAAAATCAGCACCCTGAAAGACACTGTCACCAGGGTGGACTACAGAAGAGGACAGGCCTCAAGAAGGGAGCTTTCTTTGGTTACGCATTGACTGATAATTCATCAGAGGTCAATACAGTCCTGATCTACCATGGGTACTACATTAAACTCAGTGGAATTTCTAAGAGACAAGTCTGGTGGGAGGATGTCATGATGGAGGAAGAAGAGGTGGCTTAGCTTTAGGTCTGGGAATCCCAACTTACTACTGAAATACTTGTCTAAAGATATTCTTCAGAACAACCTTACGTTAAATTAATCAAGCCCCTCACTGTGAAAGACCAGACTTCAAAAGTGTATTGAATTTAAAAAGTGAGAGGTCAAGTACTTGGTTTGATGGCTTAACAGTGTTGGATACATAATAGAGGCTTATTGACTTGATCAATTATTGAGGTAACTTTGGGCTACGATAACTGAAAATTAAAGCTGTATGAACACCAATCAAATAAGGCATGAAGGAAGAGCCATTTTAAAAATAACTGCCATTCGTTTATTGCACAGGTAATAAAATCACGCAGTACAAAATTCCAAAAGCTCAAAAGAATATATACTGAAACATCTCCCTCCCACCCCTCCCACCAATAAAAGACCACTTTAATAAGCCTGTCACTCTCTGGTAGGACTGAATGGATCATGCATTGTCAAGGACTCAAGGTTAAAGACCCTCTGCTCTTGAAGATGTCTGCCACCTAGCTCAAGCCCAGAGCGTACTGCTCAGAACTACATTCTGTAGAGTGGGTTCTCTACTCAAGCTGGCACAGAGAATTCAGGCTTACAGCTTGGTGCCAACAAATCCTTGTGGGCCACCAATTCTGAATTGAGGCAACTGAGACCTTAGGGACTTCTTATTGACCTGATGTGGTTCATGTTTGTTAGAGGATATAAATAGGTTATAAAATACAGTATCTATTTGTTCTCTTGCCATGCTGGGGTTATGAAGTGTGACTTCCGCATAGTCCTTGACATTCAGTAACATTCACATATGTAGTGGCAACTGCAGCAGCCCATTTCCTTTCCCTGCGCTTTCATGGAGCATGGAACTGAGGCCACATGGTAAATGGAAAGGGCACTGGCTGCAGAAACGACCTGGAGGCAAGTCCCTGTTCTGACCCCACACTGGGCCATGTGGCTTTGGCCTCTCTTTGACTTAACTTCTCCATCTGTGAGAGAAGGTGATTACCATCTACTCTGCCTAGACAAAAAGCCTGTGCAAGGATCAAATGAATATGAGAAAACAACTGCTAAAATGAGTTCCTCCTGCACTAGATAGACAAAGAGCAGAATGGCCAAGAATGGAAGGGACTCATCTTCTCCCAGATCAGCAGCACTACAACATCTACTTGTTACTCTCCCATCAGTAGTACCAAGAACAGACGCTGCCTTGATCAAATCAGAACAGAGCTAGCTCCTTTCTTTACCAGCAGAAAACCATGGTTCTCCTCCTGAATCCCTGAACAGGCCCATTATGAGCACGTGCCCCGTCTCATTGTCTAAAATGGAATTCTAGAAGTGCTGCTTTAGTTGTCCACATGCTCTGAATTGTCCCTTTCTCACTTCTCCACGTTTGGGAAATGCTCCCGTAGAGGAACTTTATTTTTAATCTACCCTCTCTGCTTGTGCCTATGTCGGGCCTCATCATCTGGCCTCTCCTTCATGTATTGCCAACCAGCACCTAGGATGCTAAGAAAGAAGTATTCCAAAGTCAAAGTCAACGGATCCACACCTTCGGCTCAGTCATTGGCCAGAGAAGTCCTCCCACGCTGGGTAGCCTTGGGCCGTGTCCGCGGGTACCCTCTGGTGGCAGCAGCGCGTAACTGCGGTCACTGCGAAGGAGGTGCGGAGTGCTGCAGCGCCCCCTGGCGTTAGTCCAGGAGACGCGCGGAGGGCAAGGACAGGACCAGGCGAGCGGTCCAAAGGTGAGCGCGCCAGGCCCTTCTAGGTACCTGTGAGTGCGCTGGTTGGGCGGGGGTGGAGGGAGGGTTGTACATGAGTGTCTTAAAGTCTCGTATGCATGCGTGCAGGTTTCTGTATGCTTTCTGTAGGTACTTGAGCCCTGTGTATCTGCTGAGCTAAAAGTGTGTCGTATGTGTGAGCCCACGCGTTCACACGCGGGTAGGTTGGTGGCGGGGAGGTCCGCGCCTCCAGTGCAGGGCGGAGTCCTCATGGAGGCGTGAAATTGGTTTGGAGCAAACACATTACGGAAAGCAATTACCGGGGAGAGGTTCTGGGCCCGCGGGACCAACAGCCAGGAGGCTGGGGAGGAGGCCCCCTCGCTTACAAGTAGACTGGATGTCTAACCCGGGAAAGGCCCTTCCTGACATTGCCCTGCTAAGGGGACGATATGTGAAGTTAGGCACAGCCCCCTTTTTGGCCCCTCCGCATGGCTTTTCTTCCCTTCTTCCTTAAAAAGGCCATCTCATGACCCAGTGCTCGCTACGTAGGGTCAGAAATCCCTCTCCCGCTTCTAATCACTTTAGGGGAGGCACCCCCTCCTTCTGTGAAGTCTTCCCAAATCCCGACCCCTAGTCTTCACCTTCTTCTTCATGTCCTCAGAAGAAGGACTCCTGCTCCCACGTCTATTTTGCATTCATTCTGTTGTTCTGTATCTTCTAACTAGTTGTTCACACACTCGTTTCTCAGACTAGACTGAAAATTCACTGAGGGCAGAAGCATGTCTCAGTCATAGCTGTGCATCAGGTAATAAAGCCTGGGGCTCAGGACGCGCAAAATAGATGAAATGGGTGGGATTCCATAGAGTTCCCATCAAAATTCATAAACAGGGCTCTTGAGAAAGCCATCCCCTTAAGAGTCAGGATTCTCTTAGAACAGAGCTTTAAACATCTTTCACATGCCAGTGATCCCACTTCTATCCGCCCAGACCTGCCCTCCTCTCTGAACTCCAGATTCACAGATCCAAATGCCCTCTTAACACAGCCTCTTTGAGATGTTTAATAGGCAGCTTCAATTCGATATATCCAACATCGACCCTTTGATTCCTGCTCCTTTCTCATCTTCCCCACCCTAGTAATTATTAATAGCACCACCATCCATCCAGTTATTCAAGCCAAAAAACTGGGAGCCACCCTACATGATGCTTTTCTTCCGCTCCCCACATCCACTCCACAGCAAGTCCCACTAATCCTCCAAAGGATCCCAAATCTCGCCCGCCACTACCCACCCCTTGCCTGGACCACTGGTCCTGGTGGCTCTCCTCTCCCAAGCCACTCAACAGCCGGAGTGAGCTTTTGGAACCTACAACTCTGCTCTTCCCCTCTCTACTCATGGCTGATCCCTCCTTGTCATTCAGGTCCCAGGTCAAATGTCACCTCCTCAGAGTAGGTTTCCCTTGTCACCTGATCCAAAATAGCTCCCACTCTGTCACATCCCATTTTGCAAGTGTCTCCCAGGGCTAATCAGCTTCTGACACCTCCTCATGTTTGCTTAGGGCCAACTCCCGTGGGGACTGCAGGGCAGGCCTTGTCTCCCTGCCGCCACCGGTTCTGGAACGGAGAATGAGCGCCGGGACCTTCCCCCAGGCTCCCACCCCCACCCGAGACAAAGGCCGTGACAGTGAGTGGGGCTCACGTGGCAGGTTCCCGCGAACACGCCTCCAGGGAAAATGCATTCCTGACCCCTGACCTTCCCCCTGGGAAGGGGGGCTTGACCCCTGGCCTTCACCCTGGGGCCTGTGGGGTCAGGGCCTGGAGAGCCTCCGCTGCTTGCTGACCCCGAGCCGCGCCCGCGCCCCCGAAGCCACACGGCCAGTCCGCCCAAGGCCCGCGAGGCCACTCACTCCCACGCCGCGTCTGCCCAGCCCGGCTCCTCGCGCCTCCGGCCCCGCCCCCGCCGCCGTGCGCGCGCCGCGGGTGGCGGGAAAGCCGAGCTCTGGCGCGTGCGCGCTCTGGAGCCCCGGGCGCTCTGTCCGCGACCCTGGGCGCCCCGGACCGGATCGCGGTGCACCGGGCCGGCAGCTGCGTGGCGACCTCCTTCCCGCGGGCTCCTCTTATAAAATCCCGCGACTGCAGTGACCCGCGGGCACTCTCCCTCTCTGTCCCTTTATGGATGGAAACTTGAGCCCAGAGAGGCGAGAGACTTACGGGTTCCCCCACAAGTTACTGGCAGAGTCGGACGAAGCAGGGCCACGAGACTCTCCGCGCCGCGCTCTGGCCGCCACAGAGCCCTAGGGAAGGAGCAGATGAAAAGAGGCAGGAGCCAGGCGGGCATCGGTGCCCCCTGGCCTGCAGTGTCAGGCAGTGGTGGAATGGGTTCCTTTTTTCTAGACCTGGGCTTTTCGCCCACTTCCTCTCCACCTGAGCTGTGGCTGCACTCCGCGCTTGGCCACCACCACCTCCTCACTTGACCTCAACTCTGCATTTGCACAGTGACAAGTCCTTTATGCCTCTTCTAACACTCTCTCACCAGGTGGCCGTTCCTCCTTTTCATGGGGCTGGAGTCAGCCTGGGATTCCTCAACAGCTGCTGGATGCCAAAGAGGAAGGTGACACAGCTGGCACAGTGGGACAGATTCGGGGCCCCTCTAAGTCTGCCCATCCTGACTCCCCTGCGAGGGAGCCAGCTCAGAGGACGGTCTGTTGGAGACAGCGCCAAACAGCCTGGAGATTTTTAATGCACATACAGGGTTCGTGCAGGCTGGAAAGGGGTCTCAAGGAGAGCCCCAAGAGGAAAGTGTCACTTGCCACAAGTCCTAACCCTCTTCATCAGACATCACTTGGCTGCAGAGGTCTTTCCGCCTCTCGCTGGTGGAAATCGAAGCACCCACATCTGTCTGCAGAGACAGACCTCCTGCCGCCAGGGCCACCTGGCCTGAGTTGGTGCAGAGAAGCCGCCCCGCAGGCTGGGGCATCTGCTCTCAGGCTCTCTCAAAAGGCAGTAGGCATCTGGAAGGAGAAGTTTGGATTCAGAGACATCCGGTGGTCCATGGGTGGGCCGGTTCTGGCCAGGGCTCTCCCTCAACCCTTCCTTTGCCTCCTACCCATCCCCCACCCCCAAATGTCTGTCACTGTCCACAGAACCCAAGACTCACCTAGTAGAGCACGTCCTCAAAATCGAGCTGCAGGTAGCGGAGCAGGCGGGGCGGCAGGGGCAGGCGGGGCAGGGCGTGGGGCAGGCAACCTGCCAGGTGGGAGCGGAGCGCGCAGCGGCTCAGATGCTGCAGCGATCTGGGCTGCCTCGCCAAGGCGAAGAGGGAGGAGTAGAAACGCTGGTGCTTCTGGGGGCAGAAGGAGGGGCTCAGCGGGGGGGGGCAGCCTTGGACAAGTGGCACCCACTCCTCCTTACAGGGGTAGGCTGGTGACTGGAGGGTGTCTGCAGGAACCTCTTAGAAAGAGTATGTGTTTTGGGTGTTCACTCTCTGAGTTCTCTTCTCTTGGGACATGAGCAGGTCGATGGGTAATTTCTGTGTGGCACTGACGGGGCTGTCATTTAGGGGGTGGGGGTCTCTAGGGGTCAGGCTGAGTGAGTCTGTGTTCAGGGTCCTGGAATCTGACCTGCAGAGTTTCAGGTGGTACCAGGCTCATGGCCTCCTCGGGAAGCTGCATGCCACTGTAGGTGTTCATCAGGACTTCGATGGTCCGCGGGGACATGCACCAGCGCTCCAGCACCTGGAGGAGGCAGAGACGCATCGGTCCCCAGCCCGTCCATGCAGGGTGACCAGACAGCTCTAGAACAGCTCTTGTGGGTTGAATTTTGTCTCCCGTAAAATGTATTGAAGTCCTAACCCCTGGTACCTATGAATGGGACCTTATTTGGAAATAGGGTCTTTGCAGAAGTAATCAAGTTAAAATGAGGCCATTAGGGTGGGCCCTAATTCAATATGACTTGTGTCCTTGTAAGAAGAGAAAACAGGCACAGACACATACACAGAGAAGGCCACGTGACAACAAAGACAGACACTGGAGTGATGTGCATACAAGCCAAAGAACACCAAGGAACACCAGGAAACCACCAGAAGCTAGAAGAGAGGCAGGAAACAGATTCTCCCTTAGAACTTCCAGAAGGAACCAGCCCTGCCAACACCTGGCTTGTGAACGTCCAGCCAGTACAGGAATGAACTTCTATTGCTTTGAGCCCCAGGAAACCAATACAACAGCTCTCATTTCTATTGTCCTTAACTTATGCCAGATACCTTTCTTAGTACCTTACTTGTATGAACTCTTAATCCTCATCCCTACAAGGTATGAAGTAGTATTATCCCCATTTTGCAGTCAAGGCAAACTGAGGCACGGAGAAGTTAAATACCTTGCCCAAATTGTACTTCTCACAGTCTAGGCCTGGCAGCGTGGCTTGCCCTTAGGCACTACATCATCCTGCTCTCCCTCAACAAGGCTCTGTGCTGGATTTTCTGCTGGCTAGAAAGGGGTCCCTGGCCTGTGGTAAAGATCCATCCCTGTATAAAACAGAATCTGCTGGAGGCCAGGTGAGGGCTGGAGACAGTTACAAGAGGGAGGGAGGGAGGGGAGCTGAGTGGTCAGGGAGGGGCTCACAGAGGGGGCCTGGGCTCTGAAGGCAAGATAACTCAGGGGCCAGGAGGGCATTTGGGGTCAAGGACTGCCTGTGGCAGCAGTGGAGGGTTTGGAGCAAGGGTAGGATCTAATTGCAGCCAGATTCATCTTTTTTTTTTTTTGAGACAGAGTCTCACTCTGTTGCCCCGGCTAGAGTGCCGTGGCATCAGCCTAGCTCACAGCAACCTCAAACTCCTGAGCTCAAGCAATCCTGCTGCCTCAGCCTCCTGAGTAGCTGGGACTACAGGCATGCACCACCATGCCCGGCTAATTTTTTCCATATATTTTTAGTTGGCTAATTAATTTCTTTCTATTTTTAGTAGAGACGGGGTCTCGCTCTTGCTCAGGCTGGTTTCGAACTCCTGACCTTGAGCGATCCTCCGGCCTCAGCCTCCCAAAGAGCTAGGATTACAGGCGTGAGCCACTGCGCCTGGCCCAGATTCGTTCTTTCATTTCTTCATTCAGCAAACATTTACTGAGGGCCTACTACGTGCCAAGCCTGGGGATCCAGCAGTGAGGAAGACAGACAAGGTCCTCGTTGTCTGGGAGCCTGGATTTCAGTGGGAAAACATGAGAGACGTGTAAGTCATTACCTACTGATCTGCTCTGCAATGAAAACGAAGCCGGGTCGGGGGCTGTGCATGGTTGGAGAGGGCACCACCCTAGGTGGAGAGGCCAAGAAAGGTCTCTGAGGCGGCAGCCTGAGCCAGTGGAATGGCCGGTGAAGGGAGCATCTGCCTGGTCAGAAAGGCAGCCACCGGCCGGACAGACACTGGTGCCATGACGCCCGCCTGTGCCTGCCCTCGGTGCCCGTAGCATGCTCGCGCTCCCTCCGTCCATCTCTTGCTGGATCTCTAACCGCACACAGTGGCCACAGGGCCTTTGTAAGATCTGGAAACAGCTAAGTACCGTCTCCCAGGCAGCCTTCCTGTACATAACCCACGCACACCCCAAACCCACACGACTGCATGGAACATCAGGGGCTTTAAAACCTGTGCCTGCTGAGGAGAAAGGACCCTTCTGCCTGGCAGGTGGGGAGCGCAGCAGCAGTGGGAGCAGGTGGAAGGCCAGGCCTTGTTAGGGGCGGGCCCGCCCAAGGGCATTTTACACACCCAGGCCCCCTGCTTCTTGACCTGCATCTGCGCAGTGCAGGAGCGTGTGGGGGGAGGCCTCTTTACCTCCCCAGACCGAGGAGAGAACAGGCTGGTTCCATCTGACTGTCCTTTCCACCTGCTCCTCCTGCCAGCCCCGCAGGCCTGCCCGTTTATCCCCTCCTCTGCACCCTGTGCAAGTGCTCACCCTGCCCGACATGCCCGCTCCTTCCTCCTCCCTCTCTCCAAAAGCCACCCACCCATGGCCCACCCCCTCTGGGAAGCCCCTGCAGCTATTCCAGCTCATACTGCTCTCTGCCATGTCTAACAACGACGCCCTGTAGTGGGATGGTGCCTAGCAGCTTACCAAGGCTGTCTCATGCATTAACTTTAGAACAACAATAGCCAGCAAGGATTGAGCACTAACTATAGGCTGGGCCCTGTCCAAAGGCTTTCTGTGTATTAACTCTACTTCTCACACTAACCCTATGAAGAAGGCATCCTGTTATAGCCCCATTTTACAGATGAGGAAACAAAGGCCCAGAGAGATTAAGCAACTTGCCAAGGGTTGCACAGGAAGCGTGCCTGGCTCCAGAGCCTGCACTCTTAGTCACCACTGACCTCAGAGGTTGTTGAGGGGATTGAGGGGACCCACATAACAGGCAACACCCTTAGGACAGTGTCTGATGTGGATTGGAGTCAGGGCTGCACTTGCTCCTACTGTTCCCCAATGCTCTCCTGCAGCTTTTCATCCCTGTTAGGGAGAAGCTGTAGCCCATGAAAGGAACTTGGGGTTCAAAGAATTCCAGTGACTTGCCTGCGGTCACACGAGCAGGCATCAAAGCTGGATCCTGGACCCAGGTCTCCTGGGCACCAAGTCCAATGTGGTGGCTACTAGACATCTGGCTGGGGCTGGCATCTCACCGCAGACGGCCGTGGGGACTCTTTGCCAGGAAGACAGGAACCCCAGCCAAGGCTGGAGGGCAGGCAGATTGTGGAAAGGGACACATGGGGCACCTTGCTCTGTTGGCCCCGCGGTTGCAGAGACAGGCTGAAGGGTGGGGCAGGGCTGCAGGGTGGCAGTGGGGTCCTGGGAAATGCGTTTGCAGCTTGGAGTCCTCCTCCCTCCCCGCCCAGAGGGGAAATCATTAGCTGTCAGAGCTGCCTTCAGATTACAGGGAATTGCTTGTCTCCTAATTATCTGGTGTTAATAGGAGATTAATTAGTGTTAATTGTTGATTTTCTTGTATTTTCCCAAAGGGGAGACCAATCTGCCGAACTCTCGGGCTGTTTAATTATTTGGTCTTGCTTAGGAATCCAGACAGATGCTTCTAGGTTTGTGAGCAAAGAGGAGAGGTGGGGACAGAGGGGGTGGGCTCAGGATGGGCGGGGCTGGGTGGGACTAGCCCCTGGGCGGGGCAGAGGGGACCTGCCCCTGCCAGCCGCCCTCTCAGAAGGCTGCTGCAGTCCTGACCCGCGTCCTCGGAGAACGATGTTCCCATCCCGGGCCCAGTGCCCTTGACATCATCTAGTTGAACCCACTTAGGGGAAATTAATATAAAGTGAGATATAAATTGAAAACTGACGGTGAGCGGCGTTTTCACAGGCGCCAGGACTGTGGCGGCTGGTGTGGGGGAAGGTGCGAACTGCTAAGCTCTCCGCAAGCGGGCCCACATCTGCTGGTAGGTGTTCAGGGGGCCTTGAGCCTTGTGAATCAGGCCCATGAGTTTCCCTGGGGGATCCTCTCCTATGTCCAGGGTGTCCCTCATGGACTGGCCCTACTGCCAGTTGGAGCTTCCTCCAGTGCTATTGTCATCAGCTCCCTGCCCTGATGAAGACCCTTTAACAACTTCCCGCGCCCACGTCAGCCCTCACTCCTCCTGTCTTTTCAGATCCTTTATAATCTGGTCCCACGGCACTCGGTGCACCTTTATACACACACATGCACACACACAGGACACACATGCACACACCAGGTATACACGTGCACATGTGCACACGTGCACGTATACGCATGCACACGCGAGCGTGCACACACACATTTCCTGCTGCTCTGCGTCTTCTCCTTTACCCCATTTGGGCTTTGCTTACTTGTTGAATGAAAGACAGAGAGAAGGAGCTAATCTATGTGCACAGGTGTTCTGGGCCACATTCTACAGCAAGCTGAAGCACAGGTCTAGGTCTACCTGTCCCCTCACCATGGTGGCCCTCCTGCTGCCTTCAGTCCCCATACCTTGGGGAGGGCTCCGGGCCAGACGCGGACGGCACCATGGTTGAGCAGAGCCCGCACCATGTGCTCGGGGCTCTGGGCCAGGGCTGCAGCTGGGCCCTGCAGAGCACAGTGCAGGGCCGTGTGTCCCCCATAGTCCATGGCATTGACACTGACGCCACAGGACAGGAGCAGCTCCACGACAGCAGCATGGCCGCGGCGACAGGCCAGGTGCAGGGGCCGCCTCTTGTCCTGGTCAGCAGCATCGGCATCTGCTCCGGCTGAGAGCAGCAAGCAGCACAGCTGGAGGCAGCGGGCGGTGGTGGCCTCGGCGTCGGCGGGGGACCGGCAGCGGGTGTCGCAGGCAGCCAGCAGTGGGGTCCAGCCTTCTGCATCACGGGCATCAGGGCATGCCCCACGTCTCAGAAGCAGGTCTGCCAGCTCCACATGGCCAAGCCGGGCGGCCACATGCAGAGGAGTTTCCTCTTCTTCCTCGGACCGACCATCCACTCTCGCCCCAAACCTCAGGAGCAGCTCCGCGCACCTAGTAAGGGCAAGATGGCGATGGGGAGGAAAACGGGCATGGACCCCTTGCACTCCTGCAGGTCTGAGCAAAGCGAACATGGCAGGGAGCCTTAGGTGGCTCTCAGTTCTATCTCCCTCCACCTTCTAACCCGCCTGTCACTGGCCATCCGTGCAACATTTTACAGGATCACAATGTTCTCTTTTAAAGTCCAAACAGTTTCTGTTGGATTAGTCCACCAAATCCTCAATGGGAACAAAAATCACAAGCAGTTATCACTCAGAACAGGCCCCCTTCTAAGGGCTTTACGTGTATTAACTAATTTAATCCTCACAGCACTCCCAGGGTAGGTGCTCTGATGAGTCTCACGTCACAGATGGGGAAACTGAGGCTCTGGGGCTTGAAGGTCCCATGCAAATTTGCACAGCTAGTAAGGGGAGGACCTGGGGTTGGGGTCCAGGGGCGGCAGGGCAGTTGGAGGGCTCTGCATGCTGGGACTGGAGCAGCAAGTGGGGCACGGGGCCCAGCAGGGGGGCAGTGGGACAAAGAACAAGACCAAAACTGGCCAAGCAGACTTGCTCCAGGCTGGCCCTCACAGAAGGCTGCACATGCCTGTAGCAAGTGCGGGGAGTCACAGTGACGTGTGCCCCAAACTTAGGGGCAAAGGGGACTTAGCTTCTTTGAGCTCCAGTTTCCTCGTGTGTAGAATGGGGACAATCAATAATACCGTGACCTCATGAGGTTGTTGTCAGATAAGTCCTGAAAGGCCATCATCGTAAGAGCTCAAAAACAGTAGCAATTGGCAGAGGGGTGTGTGGTATAGAAGGGAAGGATCATGGGGCTCGTTAGATTATCCCGTCTACCTCTCTGTATGTTTGAATTGTTCCATAATAATTTGTAAATAGATTCGTTTACTCAAGAAAGGAAGGCTTTTCTTTGGGTGTGATCTCAGTGAGGCTGGCAGGAATATGGTCAGAACTAAACATGTGGGATTGTATGGAACCTTGCTGCGCGGTGGTAGCCGCTGCCCACATGTGGCTATTAAGCACTTGCAATCTATCTGGTCCTAAACAGATGTGCTGTAAGTGTTAAATACATACCAATTTTGAAGACTTAGTACAAAATAAGCATGTAAAATATCTCAATTTTTATACTGATTACACGATAACATTATGGATATATTGTATCACATAAAATGTATTATTATGATTAATTACACCCATTTCACAGATATTTGTATACCCATGTTCACGGCAGCATTATGCACAATAGCCAAAATGTGGAAGCAACCCAAGTGTCCATCAACAGATTGATGGATAAACAAAATGTGATATCTACATACAGTGGAATATTATTCAGCCTTAAACAGGAAGGGAATTCTGACACATGCTACAACCTGGATGAACCCTAAGTGGAATAAGGCAGCCGCAAACGGACAAATACTGTATGATTCCACTTATAAGAGGCCCCTAGAGTAGTCAAATTCATAGAGACAGAAAGTAGAATAGTGGTTGCAGGGCCTTGGGGGAGGGGAAGAGTTAATGTTTGATGGGTACAGAGGTTTAGTTTGGGAAGAAGAAAAAGTTTGGAGATGGATGGTGTTGATGGTTATACAACAATGTGAATGTACTTAATGCCACTGAACTGTAAACTGAATAATGGATAAAATGGTAAATTTTGTGTATATGTTAATGCAATTTTTAAAATTCATTTACATGTTTCTTTTCTTTTCTTTTCTTTTAGAGACAGGGTCTCACTCTGTCACCCAGGCTGGAGTGCAGTGGCCTGATCATAGCTCACTGTAACCTTGAATTTCTGGGCCCATGCGATCTTCCTACCTCTGCCTCTTAAGTAGCTGGGACTACAGGTGTGCACCACCACACTCAGCTCATTTCATTTTTAAAATATTTTGTAGAGACAGGGTCTCACTCTACTGCCCAGGCTGTTCTCAAACTCCTGGCCTCAAGTGATCCTCCCTTCTTGGCCTCCCAAAGTGCTGGGATTATAAGTGTGAGCCATTGTACCCAGCCTCTTTCATTTTTTGTTGGGGCTACTAGAAAATTCTAAGTTGCATATGTGGCTCACATTAGATTTCTGTTGGACCATGCTAGTGTAGAACACATCTTCAACCATAATATGATTAAGTCTGTGGAATCCTCTGGAGGCTGAGGCTAGCAAGAGGGAGAGAGTCCACCAAAGGGAAACCCAAGGATCAATAATTTGGCGTTGTTCAGGGGCAAGAGGCGAAACCCAGAGGGGGTGCAGTCAGGAGGGAGAGAGCCTCTGCTGTGTGCAGACCTAGTGCACAGGTTTGCCGAGGCTGCCTCTGCCTGGATTCCACGTCTACAGACATATTGGAAGTGGGGACTTACCTTCCCAGGTTCCTTATACATACATAGATCATGATTATTTAGGCCAACAGCGAACAACACCTTGACACATTTGAGTGCATTCATCAGTTTCCTGTGAGTTTGGTCAGTGACAGTCCCTTGACCCCATTTATCTGAGGGTGCCCTGCCAATAAGGAGTTGCCAGGCCTGCCAGGCTGGGAACCAGGCCCTGCCCACAGGGACCACGGCAGGCCCCAACTGGGGCCACTGCCCTCTGCAGCCTGACAGGATCCCCGGAGGGCAGGACCGTGACTCAGTTGCTGCCATACTGAGCACGGTGCCTGGAACATAGGATGAGCTCGGAAAACGTTAGCACTTTCAGCCGTACCACCTCCCTGTAATGGATGCCAACACAGGCCATCAGCTGGGCCCCACCACGGCCTTTCTCCACCCCGGGAAACCAGGAAATGGTCCAAAGGCCAGGCCACTCCAAAGGTCACGGGGCCAATGGTTGGATGGCTTGGGAATTGCACCCTGACCCCCACCCCAAGCCAGGACTGTGCTACCCCAGCCCGCGGTGCCTGCCGCCCCATGTGCCCCCTGGCCCTCCCTGGGAAGGCCCCTTTGCCCCGCTCCGAGTGCAACCAGGGGGTGGAGGTGAGGGGTCACTCACTCAAGGGTGCCAGGCCCCCGGCACAGATGCAAGGGGCGTTTCCCATCCTGGTCAGGGATGTTGGGGTCGGCCCCTGCCACCAGCAGCACGTGGACGCAGTCCGTGCGACCCTCCGCGCACGCCTCGTGCAGGGCGGTGCGGCCCCCGGGGGCGCTGTCCGGCCTCGCCCGCCGCCTCAGCAGCAGCCGCAGAACCTCCGCGTGGCCGCGGCTGGCCGCCACGTGCAGTGGGGTGGTCAGCTCCTCTTCGTACGTCAGAGACCAGAGTCCTAGGGACAGGCGACACGGGCCTCAGATCCCGAAGGGAGGCAGAGCGCTGCCGGCCGGCGGGGCTGGGCGGAGGCAGGAAGAGGGAGCCGGAGCCCCGCTGCAGCCGCCCCTCTCCCGCCCAGCGCCCGCGCCGCCCGCCCGTACTCAGAGCGCGGATGTTGAAGCGGAAGTCCCTCCATCGCTCAGGGTCGCTGGTGTCAAAGACAGAGTCAGGAGCCAGGCCGGTGCTGGAGTCCGCCAGGATGCGGGACACAGAGCCCACGTCCCCGGCCAGCACTGCCTGCCAGAAGGCCAGGGCGGGTCCCGAGGCCGTGCGGGTGGCGATGGGTCCCGGGCCAGCCTCAGGGTGCTCCTCGGCCCCTCTGCCAGGCGTCTCCACCAGCCTGGCACAGAGGGTGTGTCTGTCACCGGGGGGTTCTCCCTGCCCCCTGCATTCTTCTGGGGACCAGCTCATGAGCATGTGGGAAGGGGGCGGGGTGGGGGGAAGAGAGGGAGCGGCCAAAGACAGAGGGAGAGAAGGGGAACCCAGACAGACAGAGGCAGAGGGTCCCTGTGTCCCCGGCTCTGGGCCTGGTCTGGCCACGCGTTCAGCCGGAGCTATTCTGGGCTCCGCATGACTTCATTCCTAGGCCAAGGTTTAGGATCTTGGGCAAGCTTTGGAGTGGGGGAGAAACAGCCAGGGGCATCTCCTTTTCCTCAAGCTCCTGGGACTGCTGTACCTGAGTGAGGTGCTCAGCCCACTCTCCCCCCCCCCAGGCCACCCAGCTGCCCCTCACCCCTCTGGTGGCTGCTCCAGCGAGGCTCCGCGGCCCGGCTCTCCAGCAGCAGGTCGGCTGTGCTGTTGGGGGGAAACAGCTCCTGCAACCTCGCCAGGTCCCCGGTGTAGAGGGCGTTCTGCAGGGCCATGTCACGGCAGAGCAGTGGTGATGGCCGAGGGGTCCCCAGGGCTGGGCAGGACTGGGGCCCCCAGACCCGGCAGGTGGGCGCTGAGGGGAGGCAGCCCAGGTGGTGCTCCCAGGGGGGAGGGGACTTCCTTCCCCCAGGCATGGCTAGTTTCTGGGGGAGAGAGCCAAAGCCACAGGACTCGGGGCAATGCTCCTGGCGGCTGGGCAGGTGGGCGCTGGGCCCGAGCCGGGTGGGGCCCAGTGTGGGAGGAACAGGAGGGCACACACAGGCCAAGCCATAAATAGCCCCGACTGGCCTGGCTGTCAGCACCCAGGACAGAACTCTCAGGCTGGGAGGGGGACTGGGGAGGCCTGGAGAACAGAGTGAGGCTTGAGCCCTCCAACCCTGAGCTTCACCCCAGGGTTGGACGACATTGGAGTTGTTGCTGGCCAATCTGGCCAGTCTGTCATCTCACAGGTAAAGGAGAATGTAGCCCAGAGAAGGGAAGCGATGTGTCCAAGGTCACGTGGATAACTTGTTGCAGAGCTGGGGTAGAACCCAGGATCTCAAGCGCTTTGTTTTCTGTCACCTTCTTCACAAATCAGCCGCCTGCTGCCCATGCTCTGATCCCATGGGTAGGGCCTGTGCCTGTCAGATAATGTTTCCTGCCCTCCCAAATGTCATTGGTTAGCCCTGCACCTTCCCACTCCCAAACCCAAGGGAGGGGTTCAGAGCAGTGACAAACACTGGAGGCTACCCCCACGGTGTGAGGCACCCCCCAGGGAATCTTCTCCAGAACACAGACTTCTGCCCTGGGGATGGGGCTCCGCCCACAGGCAGCAACAGAAACACCCCACGCCCATCCTGGGTGCTGACCCCCCCCACGCCCTTCCTGGGTGCTGACCTCCCTCTACTCATCCTGGGTGCTGACCCCCCTCTACTCATCCTGGGTGCTGACCCCCCTCTACTCATCCTGGGTGCTGACCTCCCTCTACTGATCCTGGGTGCTGACCCCCCCATGCCCATCCTGGGTGCTGACCCTCCCCTGCCCATCCTGCATAGTGACACCCCCATTTTCTTGGATGACCCCTGGATCTCCCACTTGGGAGACCCCTGGATCTCCCACATCTCTACCCTGCCATGGTTAGATGGGGCTTCAGCTGGAGAGTGAGGAAGCAGTGCCTCTGCCTCCTCAGGCAAGCTAGGGTACAACCGCTCTCTTTGGGGGAATAAAAAGAAAAAAGGGGAAAAAGAAAATGTAAGAGCAAGCTAGGCTGGGCTTGGGCCAAGCAGTCGCACCTCTCTAGCCGACACTGGCTCTTTTTAAAAAAAAAATTTTTTTTTAATCAATTGCTTTTTTTAAAAAAGTTTTATTTTTAATTAATGAATAATAATTGTATATGTTTATGGGGTAAACATTACATGTTTACTCTATGTAATGATCAAATCAGGGTAATTACCTTACCCATCACCTTAAATATTATCATTTCTTTGTGGTAAGAACATTTAAAATCCTCTGTTTTAGCTATCTGGAAATATACATTATTATACACTGTAGTCGCCGTGCTGTGCAGATCACCAGGACCTGGTTCTTGTCTCATTGTAGCATCGGCCCCCTGACCAACGTCTCCCCTTTCCCCATCCACTGCCCCCCCCCAGCCCCTGGTGACCACCTCCTACTGTCTGCGTCTATGAGTTGGACTTTCTGGATCCCATGTATGAGTGAGATTATGCAGTATGTGTCTCTCTGTGCCTGGCTTATTTCACTTAACATAATGTCCTCTAGGTTCACCCATGTTGTCGTAAATGACACAACTTCCTGTTTTGAAGACTGAATAGTATTCCATTATGTAGCTATACCTCACTTCTTTTTTTTAGCCTTTCAATTATCACTCAATAAAAGCTTCCTTTTTTAATTTAGTTTCCCGACTCTGTGCTGTGCCTTCAACAATTCCACGGCTTTCTGCTCCTCAATAGGGAAAGCACGCTCGATCCTGCCATGGACACATGTGGCACCACCAGAGCCCTGCTGGCGTGTTTTTCCATTTTAGACACGTCCTATGAGGACTTTAGGTCCCACAGCATGAATGCCCAGAGTCAGTACCTGGGCCTGTGCCACCTGCAGCTGTTGGTGCTGGCCCAACCTCCCTGGTATAAAGGCAAACAATCCTAGGGCTCAGGACAGCCTGGTTTTGTTAGAGGCTGTATTGTAGGTAAGCCCAGGACTGTATGTCAAACGCTGGACTGTCCTGAGGGCCTCCAGGCAGCGTCCCTGGAAGAGGCTCTACCTCGTTTTCTGCACGCAATTCCTCCCGGTGGACACTTAGGTCGTTTCCATATCTTGGCCTGTGAATAGCGCAGCAATGAGCATGTGAACGCAGATGTCTCTTCCACATACTGACGTGAATTCCTCCGAGTATATACCCCGTAGAGGGATTTCTGGCTCGTATGGTAATTCTAATTTTATTTTTTCTGAGGAAACTCTGTACTATTTTCCAAAATGGCTGTACTGACTTCCAACACTGCCAAAGTGCACTGAGTTCTCTTTTCTCGGTATCCTTCTCAACACTCGTCTTTCATCTTTTTGACAACAGCCATTCTACCAGGGGTGAGGTGATCTCTCATTGTAGTTTTAATTTGCATTTCTATGACGATTAGAGATGTTAGCATTTTTTCATATATATTATATATCGGGCATTTATATGTCTTCTTTTGAGAAATTTCTATTCAGGTTCTTTGGCCATTTTTAAATAGGATTATTAATTTTGTTGTTATTGAGTAGTTTGAGTTCCTTATATATTTTGGATATTAGTCCATTATCGGATGTTTGATTTGCAGAATATTTTCTCCCAGTCTGTGGGTTGCCTCTTCCCTCTATTAATCGTTTCCTTTGTTGTGCAGAAGTTTTTTAGTGTGATGCAATCCCATTTGTCTATTTTTGCTGGCCTTTTGGAGTCATCGCCAAGAAATCTCTGCCAGACCAATGTCATGGAGCTTTCCCCTGTGTTTCTTCCAGTAGTTTTCTAGTTGCAGGTCTTATACTGGCTCTTACTGCCTGTGGACACACCTTGACCTTTATCCACACACTCCATATAGTGTCCACAGGTCTGTTTTTCCCAGAGAACTCTGGGGCTCCCCAGCCCTTGTTGGTACGATTGCTCCTACTCCCCAAGTTCCCTGACCCCACCCACCTGAACTATTCTCTCTCCAGCAAGGGGGAACCAGCAAGCTGGACTCCTCCCCAGGGGCAAGAGGCTGTATCCCGTTGAGCCCTGAAGTATAGGCTGTGGGTCACACAGAGGACAAAGCACAGAGCTGGGGTGGGCAGGTGCCAAGTTGGGGGGGTCTTTGGAGGAAAGGGGAGAAGACCAGTCAGAGGAGGTGTTGGGCCTACCAACAGCCCTGGCCCTGGCCACAAAGCCCCTCCATTTCCCCACACCCTTGCAGAGCTCCCCCAACCCTCCCCACGCCAGCACCCTCGCTCCCTGACTGTCCAGACACTTCCGCTAGAATAACCGAACCCTAGAGTAGAAGGTAGCTTAGAGATCAGCTGGTCCAACCTCTCCTCCCTACGCAGGTAAGGAAACTGAGGCCCAGGGAAGGGAAAGCACCGTGCAGACCACACAAGAAGCTAGTGCCGAGGGGCCAGGACCAGGGATGGTTCCAGACTCTGCCTTTTTCTTTGTCTGTGCTGACCGTGGACCTTCCTTCTCCCCTCTCTCCTCTTTCCCTCTCTCCTTCACTTTGTAGTTTTTCTTGCTTAAATACCTTGAGGAGGAAAGAGAGCTGGGAACCAGGATAGGACAGTGACGAGGAGATGTAGACACTGGGGTGGGGACCAAGCACAGGGGTCTGTGTGGGGGACAGCAGAGAGCCAGCAAGGGCTGAGGTCCAGGAGAAAGAGGTGGGGGCCAGGTGGGGCTGGGCACAGGGCAGGGGGGCACAGACATGGACGGACAAGAGTGTCCCTGAGCCACATGGGCATTTATGCCTCTGCCCTCTATCCCTTTGCCCTTGGGGCACTGCCCAGTCCCACCCTACTAATCTCAGGCATCATTTCCTCTTCTTCTCCTTGGCCACCTTGATTTCCTCGGCCTCCAGCTGGTCCTTGCTGAGTTGCATGTTCTTCTTGCCCAGTGGAGTCTTGAAGTACCAGTCCTGGGGTGGTGGGAGCAGGAGGGGTGAGTACCTTGGGATTAACCCTCGGTTCTGCCTCCTGACCTCACCCCTCCCCTTTTTATGGACTCTGTGTCCTCAGCAGCCTCTTCTCCCCACCCCCCAGGGTTCCCCTTACTCCCACTCCATACTCCAGGCCACAGTGCCAGCCATCTCAGGGATAAGCTCTCCTCCCTCCACCTCTGCAGCCTCTCTCCTGGGCTCCCAGGGCCACCCTACCCCCACCGGGGGCACTGATTCAGGGGTGGGGGACATTTGATCTCAGAACCAGCCAAGGGCTCCTAACATAGAGGTGGCCCTTTTGGGCTCCCTCTCAGGGAAACCAGGTGAGATGGTCCTGCCCACATACCCCTGCCCCTTGGCTTTTCCTGGTCATTTTCTGTTCCCTTCCCAGCTGAGACCCATGTTCGTTTTAACCCAGTTGTCCTCTGGTAATTTGGGGGAGCAGAGGGAGGGGTCCCAGGCATGTTTTAGGGAGCCGACTCCCCAACAGCCACAGCTCACCCACACCCCCAGCCCCCATCAGCCTCACCTTCATGGACTCCTCCTCCTCCCTGTACACTGGATCTAGTTTCGCCAGATATCCCAGGAATTCAGAGGCCACCAGGGGCCGCTTGACCACTTGCAGGAGCCGCCGCTCACTCAGCACC